AGGAATGACTCAGTTGCCACAAAAAGCAAAATTATAATTAGAGGCTTAATGGCATGATAAAAAAATTTGGAACGTGACACACGTGTGACGATGGCAGCATAGAGCACACCACTGCAAAGCCCGTGCATGCAAATAAGATTAATGGCTAAAGCAGGACGTTAAAATCCAACTTTAGATTGCCCTCCTGACCGAAGGCATTACACATGTGCCTTTGGCATTCATTTGCCCACCCTAATATGCATCACGCAAGTATAGCTTAGAATGGAACTAGACCAGGTATTCATCCAACTTACCGCTATGCAGACCGATGCGTAACCTCAAGGGCACCTCCGGTATGTGCTTAATGATGAAGGTCCCACAAGCACTGAGGAGGTTGAGAGCCATCATGGCAACCTCACCCGCGTGGCGTCGCCCATTACGAACTGGCAGTCCTGAAGCCACCAAATATGCATCTCCTATCATTTCTACCTACAAAGAGTAAATATCGACGTAAAATAGCGTAAATTTCGAGCACTTCTGATCCGCCTATTCTCGTGCATTGGAAAGAGACCCAAGTTTGTCGGTTGAAGCAATGGGCAATCAGACGCTGCAAAGGTACTTTCGAGATTTTAGGGAAATACTGATCTGCTCATAGCATATCCTATCTAGACAAGTAGAAAATTCACTTTTTAAATTAACTCCATGTTTTACGGGCAATTTATAGCGGTGAATTAAATAGGCAGCTACTCCGTCTAAACAAGTTAAGCAAACGATGAAAAATGGTGCTTTGATGTATCACTGGTCTTGGGCAATTTTAGAAAGCAGTCATTTTATTTTTGATTTTCATTCAGCACACCATGTTTTTAGGCGATTTACAGGATCTAATAAACCATATGCCATATAAGTAAGTGTGAAAAGGAGAACATTCTTTTTAGTTGATAAGGGTAAAAAATCTGCGCCTCAGATATTTATATGGGACTCAAACCTTTGCCTAAAGTTCGCTCAAGCGCCTCCAAACAAACCCACCTTGTAGACGTCGTAGTTAGCAATCGTCTTGTCAAACAGTGTGTACAAGTCATTAAGAAGATCAACAGCCTGTAATGGTGTGGACATTGCAGAGATGGTCGTAAATCCAACAATGTCGCTAATGTAGACTGACACCTCATCGTAGGTCTCAAGTGCTA